TGAAAATAATATGTAAATTGAATCAAACTGAAGTCATTTAGTTTTCTAAATTAAGGCTATGAATCAGTATGATGTTGAATTTCTTAACAGGGTCACTCATTCTTGCACTAACAACATTAAACCTTGCTAAAAATGGACCAATGTGAAGACTCACTGTTGCTTACAAATCACCAGTAACCTTGATTGCTGCTTGCTAGCGCATTGCTCGTACTAAAACTAATTTATTGTGATTTTATTATTAACTTCTTATGCACTCCTCCATTTATTAATGCTTCCAAAGTGATTCAAGGTTGAGACTCATCCCGTTACCGAACTGTGATATCACCAGCACCAAAAGCACGCAGATATTAGCATACCAACTGTTAAAACTAGACTGAGAGATGATGACACCTCACTGCTGACATTTAACGTCCACCTTTTGACAAGTTTGTACCTCAAAGACTTGAACTACCAAGAGTCTTCCACTGCTCTGTCACACAAGCATCAGCTACTTTACTCATTCACACCTATGCAATCATTCGGAGCGAGCGCTCCGCCATGAAAGGTGCTTTGTTTTTCTTTGATTCAGTGTCCTTTGGTCGCAGTGTTCTTAGTATTAGCATTGCCTGGTATGTTCATGTACTGCAACTACAACGTGCCTCACTCTTGTCTGTGCATTAAATGTAAATATCATAGAACTTATAATAAAGGGAGATTTTAACATGCAGATGTGTGTAGTGTTTTCTCAGACACTGATTGACAGGAAAGTGTTTGTTGCACATGCTTGTGTGTTTGTGCATGCATGCATGCCCGCATGTTTGCATGTGTGTGTGTGTGTGTGCGCTGTAGGGTGTGCTGACCTGATGACCCTGGACACCATGACCCCTCAGGAGAGGAAGAGACAGGGTTACATCCATGAGCTCATCCAGACTGAGGAGACCTACGTGGAAGACCTGGAGCTGGTTCTAGAGGTACAGACGAACACAAACATACAGGCATATTCAGAAATCATGAACCTCTTTCTCCAGAATCTGAACTATTATTGTTTATAGTGTTTTATTTTTCTTTCCATTTGCATCCATCTGTCTCTCAGGTCTTCCACAAGCCCATGTCTGAGTCAGGCCGTCTGACAGAAGCTGAGATGGGAGTGATCTTTGTTAACTGGAGAGAGCTGATTATGTGTAACACCAAATTACTCAAGTAGGTATCACACACCATCTGTATGAACCATTCTAGTGAATGTAAATCTGCTCTGCTTCTTCAAACACTAAAATGGAAGTTTCTGGCTACCATGTGCTAAAGGGAGGAACTGAAGAAAACATATTTAAGGGGAAGATCCACTGTAAAACATTAGAATTTTACACTTTGGCCCATTTGGCCCACAGAGTCAGTGGGAATGGGAAAATGCTGTTTGAGTTCCATCTGGCTGAGCACATTTTTATAAAGCTGTAACAAAAATCATGTTCTACATCATCCCAGGGCGCTGCGTGTGCGTAAAAAGACAGGAGGAGAGAACATGCCGGTTCAGCTCATAGGAGACCTGTTGGCTTCGGAGCTCGCTCACATGCAGCCCTACATCCGATTCTGTTCCTGCCAGCTCAACGCCGCCGCCCTGCTGCAGAGCAAAACCCACAACCAGCCCGACTTTAAAGACTTCCTCAAGGTACGAGTTGTGGATGAAGACAGAGACAGACCAGACATGGTTGTGTGAGATGCAGTAAAATATAAATCTTTCTCTCTGCCTCCTCTCGAGCAGAAGATAGCCACTAACTACCGCTGCAAAGGAATGCCGCTGTCCAGCTTCCTCCTCAAGCCCATGCAGAGGATCACACGATACCCGCTGCTCATTAAGAATGTGAGTGGAAAAATTCTCGATTTGCCCTAATTACAATATATTCGTTATGTGATTCCATGTTTCTCTCGTGTGTCCTGTTGGTCAGATCCTGGAGCACACCCCAGATGGTCATGCAGACCGCAGCCCGCTTAGAGAAGCTCTTGAGCGAGCTGAGGAGCTGTGCTCTCAGGTCAACGAGGGAGTCAGGGAGAAGGAGAACTCGGACAGGCTGGAGTGGATACAGAGCCACGTCCAGTGTGAGGGACCTATAGAGGTAAAAATGACTCATATCAATGTATATCAAACTTTATTATTATTAATTATGGTAGATGTAGTCTATGAATGTCAGTTACTGCGGTACAGTAGTTATATACACCCTCTACAAAGCATTTTATGTTGGATTCACTGTGATGCTGCTGCATTGTTTTACAAGTATAACTTTTTTTGTAGTTTCCCTTCTCCATGACATATCGCTTTAGGATTTATGTTATCCATTACCTAAACAAATGCAGACACGCAGTAGCAAACGCAGGAAGCATTTTTTACCAAAGCACTGTACTTGACAGTTTCTTTCCTTTTGCTACATCTCTCCTCAGTCACGCTTTACTTACTTCCCGTCTCTCTTTCAGCACTTGGTCTTCAACTCGCTGACTAATTGCCTCGGGCCCCGCAAGCTGCTCCACAGCGGCCGGCTTTACAAAACCAAAAGCAGCAGGGAGCTGTGGGCTTTCCTCTTCAACGATTTCCTCCTCCTCACACACAGCGCCAAACCCTTCTCCTCCTCAGGACCAGACAGGCTATTCAGCCTCAAGGCCAACATACAGCTGAAGATGTACAAAACAGTAAGCGAGGCAGAAATGTAAAAACCTTTTGCGGTGTGAAAATACTACTCGTGTTGCTTTGGTTATGAAACAGTATTTATGTTCAGTCTTGCTCTCCTTATTTCATCCATCACTTCATTTTCTTCTGCAGCCACTGTTCCTAAATGAGGTTTTGGTAAAAATGCCACCCGACCCATCCAGTGACGAGCCTCTCTTCCACGTCTCGCACATCGATCGTGTCTACACGCTAAAAACTGAGACGCTGAATGAGAGGTATGCCATGCCCATGTGCATCGTCACACGCTTCACCAGTAACCTAATCATGCCGTGTAAAAGGATTGATGTATTTATTTTGTCTGTAGGACAACGTGGGTCCAGAAAATCAAAGGGGCGTCTGAACATTTCATAGAGACAGAGAAGAAAAAGAGAGAGAAGGCTTATCAAGGTAAATACACTGACCCTGTGTGTGTCAATGTCTTATAATATAGTACATAGTTGGTACAACTCATCTCACCATTATCTAACAGAGGTAAAGCATGAACTTTTTAAGACTCTTCATTTTCACTATAGCCATTAATTGTACACATAAAGAGAAACCTAAATTATAATATAAGCCTAATGTAAGACTCCATTATCATACTTGCAAACCATGTATACATTCAATATTCTCTGAATCCTATAAGCACCTGCATATGCATATTGTTCACATATTATTCACAAGATCAGTTGATCAGTGTTGTAGGCCAACATTTAATGGCTGTGTGTTTATTTTAGCTCGTTCCTTAAAGAGCAGCGGTATCGGCAGACTGCTGGTAACTGTCACTGAGGCCCAGGAGCTCAAAGCCTGTAAACCCAACGGTAATGCTGTCGGATGCTGTCACTCATATCAAGTCAGTCTATTTCTTTAAAAAAAAAAAGAAACCATATGTTATAATATATGATGAATATATTTCCCTCCAGGTAAGAGTAATCCATACTGTGAGCTGACGATGGGGGCTCAGTGCTACACCTCCCGACCGGTCAGCGACACTCTGAACCCAAAGTGGAACTTCAACTGCCAGTTCTTCATCAAAGACCTCTATCAGGACGTCCTGTGTATCACTGTGTTTGAGAAGGACCAGTTCTCACCAGATGGTCAGTGGATGAGAGACACACACACACAAACACACAAAGATTGATTAGGCTTTTTTATGTCTAATTTGTCCTGCCAGTACAGAATGAAAGGAGTCACAGATTTTTCTTAAAGCGATAGACATTCCCCTTTCCACTGTTACTTCCCTTTAATCCCCTTTTCTGTATTCTGTCTTTGTGACACGACTATATATCTTTATCAATGTGTACGTTGGCTGACATGCAACAAGAAATGTCACTACCGAAATGCCATAGGTATCGGTCATTTAGGAACAATATCATCATTAACATATTTCATCCCCCAGAAAGGTTAATTTTTTAAATAAAGTCCTTTTTTTCTGCCTTTTTAGATTTCCTGGGTCGCACCGAGGTTCCTGTGGCAACTATAAAGAAAGAGATGGAGAGCAAAGGTGCTGCAAATCGTCGCCTTCTACTGCACGAGGTCCCCACGGGAGAAGTTTGGGTCAAACTAGACCTTCAGCTTTATGAGCCAACAAAATAACACAGCCACACACACCCTCAGGCACACCACTTAATTTTATAGTAATGAAGAGAAGATATTTTGTGTACACATTAACAGCCACACACACCTAAAAGTGCCTATTTGTAGCATTGCCATTAAAAACTCTGGATGCCTCGTTCTGCTCTGAGCCACCCACATTCATTTAAGTGACCTCAAACAGAGCGGGAGGAGACCTTGCCAAAATGAATGACAAATGTCCTCATAAGTAATCACGTATCATGGAAAAAGGGTGTTCTAGATACCAACAAACCAGCTAAAATGTGAATGCAATTGTCAATATTGTCGTGTTCGCCACTTGAAAATGCAAATACACAAACATGCCTTGAATTGTAACCAGTTACATTTAGTAACATTTTGTCAAACTCATATTTACAAATTTTTACACAATTATAATTTACTCTTAATGGAATAGTCTTACACATGCATCTGCCACATTTATCTTTGTTATGTTGTACATTTCAGGTGTTGCACACTACTGTAAAATGTAATGTCATGTCAGCTCGATGGTGTATCTATGGGGTTTAAGTATGCCGTTAAATTCTGAAAATGGCATGAATAAAATGTACATACAGTGAGCATTTGCCTTGTTGTGGCTGAATGTTTCACTACTTTCTCGACATATTCCTGGTTTCCTGTAGTTCTACACAATAACCCTCTCAACTATAGTACAAGGGAAAAGTGTGAGGTAGTTAAAAGGGAATAGAGGTGAAGATTTATGGTATATATGGATTTTAATTGGATGTAGCCTGAAGTTGCTGTAAACTTGCTGGCTGTTGCCGACCTCCGCATCTGGAGAGCCAGCAGCCGGTCTGATGGCACCTTCCATCTGGTGTGGCAGTTGCTCTGATGTGGTGTGGTATGGTGTCGAGCCTGGATGAGACACGTTTGCACAATATCACTTCTCACATTATTTTAACTATGCTGCGATCCTTAAGTGATGTTGTGTTGCAGCAGCTGTATCACACAGTCACTGAGGATCCTGCAGCATTATAATAAAATGTGATTTAAAACTCATTATACTTTATATTTGTACCTGCTGGACTTCCTTCCCTCAGCCTCATCCTTTACTGGAGTTTTCCCAGATGTAGAGACTGGATAATTAGATGAGGCCTGTAGGAGTGTGTCAGCTTGAGATGACTCACGATGAGGACGATCACTCTGAGGTAGTTTGTGCTTACATCCTAAGACAGAAGGGAAATTGGTTTACAGTTTGAAGAGTATTTAACCACCGTCACAAATCTGTGAAAAACTTGACATCTAATTAGGATTTACACTGACTTTGGGATGGGTGAATCTGAGGCTTTGAGTAATGGGATAATTATGCATGCCAAACTACTATTTAGCATTTGCTAAAATGCTCAACTAATGAAACAGCAGCAGAAGTAGAGAGAAGTCATAAAGTCAGTAAAATGACTCAGTAATGTGCGTTATACGGCAATACTTAAGTTGCTAACATTAGCCACCATAAGCTACTGGTCATACCAGATCAAGTAAGGCCGTGTGGCATTTAGTCTCACATTAATTCCTCCAAATTTAAAAGACAATCTCAGCTCAAACTCGAAGCAGAGCATTCATATGGGTCTTAAATTTGCTTTTAGTTAAAAAATGAAAATACCCAGATACCTGCTTCACAAGAACGGACTGTTCTCTTTTCCTTCAGTATTTCATGTATCTGAAGGTACAATGGGTCCTTAAAGTCAGCTGGACTGAGCTGGGGATAGAGTCAGTGACAGATATATTTGAAATATTTCAATATGCCAACAGCTGTTTTATTTTTAAATGTATTAAGTCACAAAAATCACCTTGAAGTAGTGTGGCTGTTTGAAAAGAAAAGGATTGTATTCCCTTAGATCATAGGTTTCTAGAAACACAAAACCCTGAAGATTCAAGACATTACAGCGGTTAGAGAAAGTTAGATGGTTAAACATCTCATGTGTGAGTCTGTTTTTATAGTAACAAGCAAAGCACAAAAGAAACATGTGTGTGAAGTCTCATGAAGAATTAAAAAGCACCAGTAAACAACAAGACAAAAGCTGTAAGTGTACTGCTTTCCAAAGCAGACTAAATGGTGAGCTTGGGATCACCTTGGTGTTGCAGTGATGGAGGTAGTGACTGTATAACCTCTGGCGCCTCCTGGCCTCCACCGGGCTACAGCTGGACACGTGTTCCTCCAGCCTCCTCTGGAGGGGAAACCATACACGCTCAGTCCAGCGCTTGTGCTGCAGTTCCCTCCTCCTCAGCTCGGTCACATCCCGTTGGCTCAGAAACTTCTCCAACTCCTCCACAAAGACACATATCAACCAACACAGGAGTACAGACACAAAGGTCAATATGTTGCTCTGTAATTCAATTCCTTTTTTAAAGAATGGAAGCACATAAACCATTAATGGCACAACGTCCAGCATCTTACCTTCACAAAACCATTTTCTGTATTCAATAAAGGCTGGATTATTTCTTCGGCCCGTTGATTTTCAGCGTCCAACTTTGCCTACACAGTAATACACACAGTAAGAACATTCACCTTGATTTCTATATGCAGGTGTGAGCGTGGTTGAGGGCAATACCTGCAGTCGTCTGAGGGAGGTGTGAGAGAGCCAGTCCTGTTTGGCACACGGCTGTGGCCCAGAAGGTGAGGCCTCATCCCTTTTCCACGCTCTTACAGATTTACCGGTGCTCCTCGGCTGAGACGGACTCTTTCTGCTCTCTGTAGCGTCCTTCACATCTGACGTGCACTCCTGAAACACTAGTAGGGTCACTACTATCTTCTGCTGTAGGTAAAGTCTGCAGTGGACACTTTCATTTTCATAAAAGCACTGTTACTCATCTTGAATCACACAGCCAATAACAGCAAATATACAGTATGGTCAGATTTGAACATACACTGCAGAGCTCCATGTGGACTGTAAACTCTTGGAAATCCCAGCTGGAGTTCACAGACAGACCTGACACAATCATGTAGGTGAGCAGAAGGCAACAGAGGCCAGCACAACAGGCAGTGACATGATCTGTCACTGCCTGGAAACCTGAACTGCATCTCACTGTTACACAAACACACATGGTGGGACATGTATGGCAAAGCACTAACACAAAATTAACTTTAGCATCAGTATAAAGATGGCAGCTTCCTTCCTCACTTTTGCCGGGGTTGTCTGAAATAATACCACTATCTAAATGTGCTGACTTTGATGCCTGGCTGGTTCGTCATCTGATACGGCACCAGGCCTTTATTTTTTTCTATTGTCCTGAATTAAGAGAGGATTACGGTGGCTACCGTACCTGTCTGTCAATAACCTGAAACCTTTCCATTCATCTTTCCTAGCACACTGAGATTCCAGCATTGTTCATTCAGACTCTGCACAGACAGAGGAGAAAGAGGAGGCAGCCAAGCAAACATTGTACCCTCTGCCTGCTGGCCAGCATACACATACTGTACCTCCGCAGTCTCCCTGACATTAAAAGACCAGTGATAAATTATTAGTTGGCAAGAGTTCACAGTTTCACTCTCACTGTGAAGAGGGGGGAAAGTATAGAGCTATACCACATTTAAACGTTTTCAGTAAAGGCAGTAAAGTGAATGTAACCCTCTTGTTCCTTAATAAATCTCCTGTTGAGCAGTCACCTAAACTCCTATTATTCTTTAATTATCAAAGGCTGGTGATTAGTTAGGCAGGTTCAGGTGGAAATATATCTTTCTGAATGTGAAACAGGCCGGTACACTGAAAAAGTATGTGTGTGCTTCACATACAAATAATGTGATATAAAATAATATAGCATACACTCAATGGTGTATTTTGGAAATATTATTTGAGCTATTTCTGTTATAGCTGCAGCAGTATGTATTTTTTGTTTACCTGTGATTCCAACAGGCTGACAGGAAAAGGTGTGTGGAAGGTGATCACACCCCTGGCTGTGTTTCTCCTCCTGGGGCTCATCCCTAAATCATGAGGAAAAATATAGTCTTAATGCTACATGCTAAATACATTTATCAGTGATTAGCTGTTAGATGTTAAGAACAGTATTGCATGACGTTAAATCTAATCCATATGGTGTCTTCTAATTGAGTATGTACCAGCTTTGTCACCATAGCAATGTTGTGGTTTCTTACCGTTGTTGACTTGAAGACGTTTAACGTTATGTCAGAATTTGAAGCAGGAAAAACAGCAAAAATGTGCAAAATTAACCAAAACTGCCTTCGTTTTGGGGTCAGAGGTTTGCTACATAAGACAGCGACGACTAACTATCTTTCTCCCCTCCTCTCACTAGCTTCAGTTGTCAGACAGCGGGAAAGCGCCAGCGGGAGAGGCCTCCTCCAGGTGTCCTGCCGCCTGAAGGTTTTTCCGTTGCCATGACACCGGCGCACACCCGAGCAACCAGACGTTCTCAAGACGCACGCGGCGTTCAGCGCGAGGCTTCTCTGTGCTGTTATGGCGACAAAACGTCCTAAATTAAAATGGGAGCCAAATGTATCGTTACAGGTGTGACAACTGATGACATATGCGGTCAAATACAGAAAAATTATTACATTTTAATGTCAATTATTACATTTTTTTAAAAGTGCGGAGAGAAATGTCTTGAAATTCCCGCTCCTGTATAACCCAAACTTAATTTATTGAACTTAATATTTGTTTTTGCATTAAAAATTGTTACAACTGCGATATTTATTTTAGCTAAGGGGACTGCTCCCACCTTTTCTGCCACACCTTTTCTGTGTCTAACTTGGTCGCAGACTGTGTTTATCCACCCCAGGTAGTAGGCTATAAACCCATGGTAGGCTATATGTGTACAGACTGGGAACTGAGGGTGGGTATCCTCTATTAGAGTTCAGGCCCTTTTATACTGTTATATGAAAGAGTAATCGGAGCCTTAATAACAGCCAATCAATTATATTCAAAGAGATCAGGAGTGAGGAAGACAAAATATTCTAAAAATAAAAAAAATCTAGCCTATGATATAGGAAAATACTGCAAGTGTTAAGTATAAAATAAGATTTTTTTTAAAACAATGTATGTGCAATAAAACTTTCAACAATCAGTTAATTGCAACTATTTGATTCTCAATTTCTGAAGAGCTTTCTGTGTTGGCTGTATAGGTGCAGTAGGTTAATGAGTGTGTTGGTCTTAATGCGCCTGTTGACACCTCATGTGCACTTTCAAGGTGTTCCGCAGAGGCTGCAACGCTCCGACACCTGCGGAGAATGCCACTACTTAATGTTTAGGTATTAGCTGCGTTAAGGCAGGGCAGGGCTTGGCCAGATCATAACTTGGGATTTTTCGCAGCTTTCTTTCTTTTCGTTGCCGGGTCCAGGACAGGGGGGAGACTACATGGATTGGTGGACTTCGTTGGCAGCCAGTATTGCCCTGCTCTGGATCTTCTGCTTTATAGACGGTAAGAGAAAATGGTTAGTTGGGGATTTGGAAGCTTTTCAGGAACTGTGTGGCAACCTTACGGTAGCTGACATTAACTCACAGCATAGGAAATACGACTTCTCTGCACAACATGTCTGTTTATTCTATTTTTTTCTGGCTAAAAATATAAATTATCTTCACTTGCAGCCCTGCTTGGAATTGAAAGTCAAAGGATGTTTGGCGCACTGGAAATTATGACAATTCATTTTACGCACGTTTATCTGAGCTTCCTTATAATAAACGCTTCCGCAGGGCACCTAAAACCTTTGGGCGTTATGTTGTGTATCTTTAAGTAAGAAGGCCTAATCTTGGCTCTTGGGCTTTCTTAAAAGAAGTTGTAATGAAACAAACTCTAATCACTCTAATGATCCTTTTGTCTAATTGATTCAAGACATAATCGTAACAAAAGAAAGGAATATATTTGAAGCCTCTATTGCAGCCTTAAGGCTTTGATATTGGTCATTTTGTCGATGGCTCCGGTGCTGAGAGCCGCGCGTAAAGACGGGCCGCGTCACCCGCTGTTCACGCTCAGATGATACCTGCCGCCCACATGGCTGGTGGACAGACTTTAATCCAGTGGCAGACGCTGTTTGTAATGGTTGCTGACATTAGCCACGGTGTTAAATTAGACTCCAGCTGACCCCGTTACCCTCTTATCTCCAGGCAATGCCGTGCTTGAGCTGCGGCTGCTCTTCCATGCTCTGACCAAAGCTGCATGCCACCTGTACCTGGCCCTGCTCCCGCTGCGCCGAGCCGCCACCCACTTCGCCGACTGCGCGAGATACCTGGTCAACCATGCCCAGCAAAGCCCCTCCCCGCACGGCTACCACCACCAGAGCCAGCCCCTGGCCAGGAAAGGCACGCTGCACTTCCTGGAGGGTATGTGTGTGGTGTGCGAGACGGTGCCCAACCTGATGGGCGCAGCGCTCAGCGTGGGCGCCGCCTTCTGCCACATGATGCAGGGAGGTTTCTACGTCCTGGCAGCCACGCTGCGCACCATCCAGATCAACCTCTTCTCCCAAATGAACGGCGAGAAGGATCGATGGGACAAAGAGCGACACAGAGCCAAAGAGAGCGAGAAAAAGCTAAATTCTAAAGTGTTGGAATACATCTCGGTGTTTTGTCAAGACCCCGTCAGCGCTTTACGCATCAAAGTTGACGTACCACCCGTGTATAGATAATCTCTGTCCATGTAAAATACATACATAACATAATTGGCACATAAGAGGCCTTCTTCTAACTGCTGAGTTGTTACAGATGCAGGCAGAGATGACAGGAGGTTGAACTTTGGCCCCTGGTTGTCGTTCACTGTTGTTGAGGGAATAGTACCAACAGAAATGATGTTTAAGTGTGGAAAAAGTCAAGAATCTATGGTGCATTTTGTTACATTTGTTTTACATTTATTGTAAAGAAGTAAAAATAAATGTCTCAAACAAACAAAACTTCACATCTTTGATGGGTTATAGTATTTGACATTGTTAAAGTATTTAGATTTGTATCGGTATATTAATTTACATACAATCAAGTGTCATAATTCAGTGTTTACTATCTAATTGCACTTACTATCAGCAATCGAGTTTTATTGTAAAGTGCTCTATTGTTTCTCTATTGGACAAAAACACACCAACACAATGTAACTGATTAAAATACAGTTATTTCTCAGTATCTTAATCCACAGGCATCACTAGAGCATCAGTCATACATATGTCTTTTCTTCATCAACTCATTCTGATAATAGCCATCAAACAAAATCAGCAATACTGGCACCTTTGGGTCAACATATCAGGTCTTTGTAGCTTTATCTTAGCCCTGTCAGATCTGTAAGGGATGAGAGCAAGGACACAGAGAGGGGGAGGAAGCAAAACGTTCAAGAGTGGAACGCTTGCCAGGTTAAGTCTGGCCACTGGTGTCCAGGATAGAAAGTATTTTGTCTGAGGGCAGAATTAAGGTGCAGCACACCTCCCCTGATGGCTGCATAAAGGAAGGCACAGAAAGAAGAAGAAGGAAGTGAAGTGGGGAAAAGAAGGAAGGGTTCATGTTCGGGTTAACGGGACTGTGAGCTGATACTGAAGATGCATCTGTTCCAACAGAGACTAAAGTCTTGCGTCAGGTGTAGTCTGGAGCATCTGGGGAGGGATTTTCCTAGCTACAGTGAGAGAGGAAAAAGAATCAGTCTCTCAGGATTTATGTGCTGCTAAACACAAGCAAGGGCAAAAACAAAATCTCAAACACATGGTGAGGACATCTAAGTCAATGTAAGAGTATTTTAAAGGACCCAAAGTGACTTAAATCAAAGTTTTTATTGCAACTTACAGAGAATGTCTCCAATTCTTCTGACAGCTGCTTTGTTCACTCTGTATTCATTCTGCTCAGACCTGTGATGGTGAAACAGATAGAGAAACTTAACAAGTGTAACTCTGGCATCAGAAATACAGACAGCTTATGAACCACCACAGAAAATGAGCTTAAAACCAAACAGATTTGCGGGGGCTAATCTCGTTACTCACGCCCTCAACTTTGTCACAGCCTCCAGCCTCCGCAGAGCTGACAAAACGTTTTTCTGCATGTCAGATGACAGCGCCTCATAGGTGCAAAGCTCACCTGAGGCACACAGATATAATGATGGGGAAGGCTGATAAGAGTTTAACAAAGCTGGAGATGATTCCAGAGGTCAGGGGTCATGTCTGCCACTTTCTGTTTTACCTGAGAGGATGAGCTCTGTGGCCAAGTTTCGCACAGCAGGTAGGAACTGTTTCTCAGAAAGCACATGAACTCCCTCCTCACAGAGGTACCTGAACATCACCTGGACATAAAAACACACACCAGATCAAACAGAAGGGAAAAACATCTGCCTATTTTTACCATTTAAAATCTTGCTTTGTATAATCAGAAACTTACTGGATCTATTTTGTTGATTTCAGTATGTGAGATTTTTCTGGGAGTATATCTAATCATATAATCTAATCATAAGTATACTATACAGACTGGTATATTTTCATTTATTGAAGCATAAACATAACAAAAGAGCAGTGTTAAACAAAAATCTAACATCTAAAAAAACAAAAGAAAGTCTCTTATTAATTATTTGGAATTTCTATATTTAATTTATTGGATTATAGCAGATCAACTGTATTTTCTGCAATTTTTATTTAAACAGTCAACAACTGCTTATAAACTACTAAACAAACTAACCCTAATTAAAATTTAAAAAAAATTGTATTTCAATTTTTCTATTTTCTTTCTAGTTCAATAACTAGTAGAAGATTAAATAATTATATCCAGGTAACCTTTTGGAAAATTATTGAGAAATTACGGCTCTGTAAAATCAAGAATTCTTGATTTATTTTCCTAAATGAAAGTCTCATTTGTCTCACTGTTTCAATGCCAATCCACACTGCCAGGAATAACAATCTGTTGGAGAAATACTGAATCATTTATTTTTTGTTTATTGGTTAATCTTTGTTGAATTAAAGCACTCAAAATTAAATATACTCAGTCTTAAAATATTGGAATCAGCCCCTAAAAACCTCTAAAAGGGACTGGTTGCACAGCAGACAAACACAGGCGTACTTAACAACAGCAACGATGGCTCAGTTCCATCAAGTGTGCCAGTGACAGTGACAGTGTACCAGCATGTGCAATAGCAGGACCTCCCCTAAGTGGAATGCAACAATTATCTTGCATTCATACACCTGTGCGTTTCCTGCTCCAGTCTCAACCAACCTCGGTGTTTTCAAATGAGACAGAATGAATTACTTAATCAGTGCAAGGCGTGATCACTGACAGAAAATATTCTAATGAACAAATCAAAACTTCAGACAGAGAAAATCTGGACTGCAGCTGACTGAGCTACCAAATAACCTGAATCTCATCTAAGCATGTGGCGTGTTATCACGGTCAGAAGAGGCAAAAGTCAAAGGACCTGGTAAGAGTCTATGAAGGGTTGTAGAAGCGCCTGCAGAAAGGATAACACCTCCGACCCCGCGTCCAACACCATCACTTCCTGTTGACTGAAGTTTACTGCTCCACATTTCTTCAGGAGGACGCACGCTTCCTCAAAGTCCTGCGTGACGGAAAGATGGATAACAACAGGCAGATAAATATCAACAACAAACTAACTCACCTAACCTGGGAGTCTGTTCTGACTTCAAATTGTCAGACACAGATCTGTGATCATGTCTGCACTTCACATGTTGTTACCAAGATTTCTCACACGGTTAAAAGGACAATAATCCTTGTTATGTTCTGTGTCCTGGAGGAAGCTGAGCCCTGACAGATGAGGTTGTTACCTGAGGGGACTTTCCGGGGATGAAGATGAATTCGTTGGAGAAGACGTCCTGTAGGAAGCAGAAGAAGCTGAAGAGCTCGTCTGTGAACAGAACGGTGGATCACAATGAAGCAAGAGGACAATGAATTCTTCCTTTAAGGACGTAATTAGTTGAGAAATATGTCCTGTCCAACCCCTTACCTCTCTGTGTGCTCTCTGTGACACGTATTGCTGTTGCGAGCATGGCAGGACGCACAAAAACGTGCATGGATTGATTCCTATAGGAAGCCAGCATCAGCAACGGCGCCGCCATCCTGATCACACCATCCTCTGGGCTGATTGGACATTTCCTCAGAGGCTCGTTCTCCTGAACCAGGTAGACGCGTCCCGCTTTACGTTGGACTACGGAGCAATGAAGGGCCACGGTGGATGAAATCACATCAGAGTCAGGGACTTGTCCTGCAGAGAAAGGTCACTGCATTATTATTGTTCAACGGGTGGTTCAAAATGTATTTGTACGTACATGTGTTTGTGTGTGTGTTTATGTGCCTGCATGTGTGTATCTGCACACACGAGACCTGTGAAGTGAGACAGTTCAATGGGGTCTTCTTAGGATAAGTAAGTTAAAGTGCATTAATCCACTGAACATCTCCTAAGTGAATCTGAACGCTTGTGCCAACTCACATTCATCTAATCTGTCTGATGTACCTCAGACCTTCAGAGTCCCGAAGTGAGAGGCTGAGAGATTCAACTGGAGGGAAACTACTCGCTTACAGGTACATTTACTCAAGTACTGTACTTAAAGGCAGAATGAGTATGAATTTATTGGTTGTAAGCACAACGTTCAAAGTCGGCCAGTCTTCCCCGGCTTGTAGCGTCCTCTTACAGACAGTTACACTTCAAGTGGGTCACAAGTGTTTATTATTATATTCACTGTTTTTCAGGAAAGTCCTACTCATTCTACCTTTAAGTACACATTTCAAGTACTTGTAATTGTGTATTTTGTTTTTATGCCACTTTATACTTCTACTCCATTACATTTATTTGGCAGCTATAGTTACTAGTTACTTTTTTTTCAACATACAAAGAGCTCATTTAATATGATGTGATGTGATAATGTGTGATGTTGTTATAAATTTCACTAGCCAACAGTATACAGTAAGTATAGCTGAAACAATTAGTCTATTAATCAATTAGTTGAATGACTAACTATTTTGATACATCTGCTTTTTATATATATTATTTTATTTTACATTTTATATATCTTTATATATGCTTCTTATATTAATATTTATTTTTTTATAACTTTAACTTATTGCTTGTACAAAACAAGTATTGGGATGATGTCACACTGGGTAATTGTATTTCTCATTCATTTCATTATTTTTACAAACCATCTATAAAACTTTAACATGAATGCATGACTAATAATAATCTAATGACATAATACTATAATGGTATGACGGTGGATGTTTTTCTGTTTTAGGTAATTTTACTTTTAATACTTTAAGTAAATTTTTCTACTTATAGTTACATACTTAAGTGACATTTTCAATGCAGGACTTTTGCAGTATTTTTACAGTGCAGTATTAGTACTTTTACTTAAATAAAGGATCTGAGTACTTCCTCCACCATTGTGACTTATCTGCATTAGCTTTGTCTGATTGACTTGAAATGCAATAGGCAAATGCCACCTACTGGTCATTGAGGGGAACAGTAAACCTCATCTGAGGCTCATTGATAGAAGAGCTGTTTGATAGAAGAGCAGTTGCATCCGTTCTCAATTCAATTTAAAAAAAAGATACAATATTTACTGCAAATATATCATCCATACACCGTCTATCTTCTCACCCACCCGGCCAGTTCAGGCGAGCCCCAAAGTCCAGTGCCAGCTTCCTCAGCCAGAGGGTTTTTTCTGTAAGCTGATGCCACAGCAGACCCTCCTCTGTTAAGACTGTGGTTGGGGCCTGGAGCAACATGCAGGCCATCAGAGACCAAGGGCTGATCAGAAGGCCCTCCTCTTGGATTCGTACCATCAGATGAGCCAGCCAACTCACACAGGCCTGAGCCTCTGCACTGGGCTGCTGGGGAAGATCTCTGTGAACAAATGTAAAGGGAAGGAAGAGGAGAAAGTGAGCAGGAAGAATGGAGGAACACGGCCAATTATTCTCTTTATTATTCTTCACCAGACTACTTGGCACTAATGCAGGGAGATGCCATAACAGTAACAGAAGATATCATTTAACAGATAAATTAAGTAAAAAGTTTGGTTGGTGGCTACTGTAATCCTGTCTACAGCCCTGTATGAGTGTGACACATATGTAAAATAAAATGATTTAATATCCTGTATGTCTTTAAATGTTTTCTACCTAGGTACGAGGTTGAACTGGCAGCGGTTTATCTTGCCGTGACACAGCTGTCGGACTGACAGAGGTCGACCAAAGTTCACATGCATGCTGCCGTAATTTTCCTGCAGCACTTTGGTAGCCTTCAGCAGACCCTGCAGAGAGAGAGCAAAGCTGGGAGTGAATCACGAGTCACAGATAATCAGCTTTATTCATGCATGAACCCTTCTGACCTGCACTAATGATTTTGTGAGGTTAGAGACCAACTTGTTTACTTCATTTTTACATCTCGAACAAACAATGTTGGTAAGGATTCAGAGAGAGAACTAATGTGACCAGAACTTACAGTGGTGCTTTCTTTGGGCTTGGGGACACCCAGTAACTCGTGGGCAAGCAGCGATTCCTCCAGTACTCGGTCATAACTAATGCTGATGGGAACCAAAGTGATGTCATACACCTCACCTTTAAAAAAAGGCTCCAGCACCATGTGCATCATACCTGCAGACACAAGCACATACTGTAGAATATTGTCAGGTTTTCAAAAAGTACAGACATTTGATTAGAAAACAACCTAAACACAGCATACCATACAGCTGCATTGGCTGAAAATATCTAGACACAATATATTCAAATATTCAATTAAAAAAAACTAATTAACTCAACAATCAAGGAGTTGGAGAAAGACTGGTATGGAGAAAAAAAAAGGTCATTCTCATCTCTAAGGTCTATCATCAAGCTGTTTCAAGCTGCAAAGACCACAAAATAATTAAATACTTTGGGACACACACTAGTGCTAACTTGACACCTACCTAACTTTGGTAACAGAGACTTCAGTGTGCGACTCCGCAAGCCTTCCACATAAAACTCCACAGGAGCAAATCCTCTCTACAGAAAACAAATTGTTGAAAGTCCCCTTTACAGATGGTGAAATAGCTAGACAAATATAAATTGGACATTCTTGAAAAAAGCTAAAGCAATTTCATAAAGATTATTATGTCTTACCCTGACAATGGTTTTGACATATTCTGACAGCACTGCCCAGTACAGTTTGTCAGAGCCAATGGCACGACGGATAAAGAAAGCTCCAGAGCGACGCAGTATCTCTCCGACCATCTTCATCCCTGCAAGAGCTTTACAGTGGAAAGAAGGAGGAATTATTAAAGGGAGAGAGAGAAGTAAGCGTCCGCAAGCAAAGGTACAAGTCATGAAAATGTTCACTAGAGATGTTTTAATATAAATCCATAATATTCTGTTGTTTTAATTCAAATAGATACTTGCGAATTCCTGCAGCAATAACAGGAACTGGGATGTCGTAGGTGAACAGGATGTAGGAGATAGCCAAGAAGTCCATATAACTCCTGTGATTGGGCATCAGGATCACAGGACTCTCCTGAACAGCTTGTTGGAGCTGCAAGGGATGGAAATCAAATAATGTATCAACAGCAGGCTTCTGGTATAGTAGTCTGAGGAGTGACACTTGTGTGCAGATTTTAAGTAAACATATGAATCCAAATATATCTCAACTAGCTTTAATGTCAGTTAAAGTCTTAATATTAGAGCAGATTTGTCAACTTGCCATTATTTAATTTATTTAAACACACATTTAAAAAAGGTACTGAAAAATTTCATTGTTTACATTAATTACATATAACTGCTGAACAGACCCTGGTAAATATGGCAGTCATTTGCTTAGAGTCAGATAAGAAGATTGATACGACTCTCATATTTGTACAGTAAATATGAAGCTACAGCCAGCGGTCACGTAGCTTAGCACAAAGACTGGAAACAGGGGGAAATAGCTAGCCTGGCTTTGTTGTAAAACCACAACCTGTTGCTTTTACACTTTTTTTTGTTTTGTACAGATTAAACAAATTAGATTTTTTTTTTATTGATTTTCGTTTGTCTATATATTTATGTTATGTCTATTATTATTATTATTATTATTAACCTGTTTATCCCATTTTTCTATTTGTACATTTGAATCCTTTTCCTTTTTATAAAAAGGTGTTTTAATGTGTGAAGCACTTTGTTTTACATTTTGCTTGTATGAAAACTGCCATACAAATAAAAGTCTGATTGATTGATTGAATGATTGATTGATTGACTGATTGATTGATACCATGCCAATTAGTGAGCTCAGAGGCTATGGTTGCAGATAAAGAGAGATATCTAAGAACTCGTTAAGATTTAGTCCCTATGTATATTATAATGCCTAACAATTATGTAGAAGGTGCTCTCTAACTCTGTGTAACTGGTGCATATACTGAAATGTGCCGCTGTTCTGAATACAGTATTGATTAGTTGTGTGGTCCTGACCATGTTGAGCCCTTCCATGTTGACCAAGATGCTGGTGAAGAGTCTCTTGAACACCTTGCTGAGGGTGTAGGCCATCATCCTGATAAACCCCAGCTGGAGGTTTTGAGACATTTCCTCCAAAATCCCACACACCTCCTCTCTCACCTCCTCCACAGATGACCCCGTCTCCATGGCGATCTGAGGAGGAATGCAGGAAAAAGACTCAAAGTCCATGGAAGCAACAATGTGAAACGTCTTTGTTACATCTTTTCAAATCACACCATCCCACCTCCTTGGCCATGTAGCTTAGATACTGGGACTCCAGCACGGCTTTGTTGAGGTCAGCCGTGGAGCAGGACGGGGCCCCTTTATAGGGCTGGGGGTTGAAGGTCCTGAAGGCATAGCCAAGATCACTGCTGCGCCTCCGCTCCTCCAATATATCTACAAACTCGTCAACATCTTCCAGGCCTGCTCTGCCTGAATCCTTATACTGGGAGGAAGAAGTCATGCTTATGTTAAACAGATGTTTGACGCCTTAAATAGAATATAAAAGAACAAATTAGGAACATGGCCAATCAACTACACGGTGACTCAGGTATGTGAGAGGAAAGCAAGAGAAAGAAGAAGAGGGTCAATTAAGCAGGACCTTCGCAAAAAATCACACAGTGTGAAACAAACATTATCGAAGGCTGTCGGCCATTAAAATCTGAAGCCCCTCCCCATCCACTCAAAAATGTGTTTTGTTCATGATTATGTCATTTGTATGTTGGACACCAGAAAGCTGTTTTCACATTCATCTGCTGCACATTCAACTTAAATCTGGGTTTAACATTTGTATTGTACATTGAACAGCTTTATCACTGGAAGCCAATCACAGTCCAATACGCATTTTATAGGAGTGATTTAAAAACTTGAACATGAACGGTGAGACTGGATTGAAGTCGGAGACATCTTGTGTCCACGGTTAAACCTTTTCAGTGGAAAACATTTGCATATTCACTGATTCTGGGATTTTTAAGGAGAGAGGGAGTAGATGTGGGCCTAATCTTTTAGAATTAGAAGAAGTTTTACAAGGTAATAGAGCTTATTTTTATATATTTTTGAACAACCCATATGTGACACAAATTATTACTCCAAACAGAGTACCAGTATATGTCTTGTTATGTGTATATGTTATATGACTACAGCACAAACTGTACAGCTTCCATTTAAAAAAGGGCCATATACATATTGTTTTTGATTCTATTTAAATGTTTTCATGTTATTGTCAATTTTCTATTTAGGATTCTTGACCTGCAGCACTTGCTTTCATCTTTACTATGTTTACTGTTATGCACCAATATACCAAAGCACAATTCCTTGTATGTGAGAACTTAACTTTTTTCATTCTTAAAACATCTTAAAACGTGTCTAAAGGGGATTTTTAAACACCCAGGAGGTTCTCCTCCAGTTATAGACAGAAACAACACACTGACCATTGCCTGCACTATCTTTCGTTTTGCACTATGGACCGCTGATGTTGTTTAACAGCCTATTAAGCAACATAAATAATTTCTAAGTAGGCCAAAGTTTCTGCAGCTAATACCGTCGAACAGCTCTGTGTGCACTATTTACAGCTCAACAGCGGGCTCAGCGTGAAATTTAACGTGACAACGGCAAACACATCCAATGCATTTCTCTCATTCGGTCTCGATGTCAGCACGCACTTTATCATTTATACCCGCTGTTAACTTTTAAAGCGTTTGAGCTGAGCCGGCACTGTGCGCAGGAACAGAGCGCAACAAGTGTTCAGGATGAAAAAACACACTCATTTTAAAAAGCTGCTTACCGTGTCCGTCATTCTTCACAGCAACACACACACACAAACGACCCTTCCAGGTGGCTGTCCTCATCGACTTTCGTTTTCTGTACTTGAAAGCTGCCTTGGATACACGCTGCGTGGAGTGCAGCACCCCGGGGCGCAGGCCAATGGTGTCGCTGGGTTTTGGAAACTCCTCCCGCATGTTGTATGTGCAGCTTTCTGCTCTCTAACAACCCGCAACGCGACAGTGCGTGATGGTGGATGTAGCAAAGGGAAACAGCTGAGTTTTGCTGCTTTGCACTGATACAGAGAAGTTTATCTGAACAGGCAAATGTCTGACAATTGTTATTAATTAAACTTTTACTCATAAAAATGTCACTTTCGTGCAGTGTTTAGTCACTGGTGGATGCAGTGTCCCCATGTTTGAAAAGACAGCATAAAGGCCATTTAAGATGCCCTTGCAGTGGAGAAAACCTCTTCCCTATATATGATATAACATGTGTTGGCCTCTTAAGGGTTAAATAGTTAATAATTCCCTGTATGTTTTTATAACAGAGCTGTAATAGTAAATCTGAGTCACATAATAAAAACATTTAAATCTGAACCAAGGTTTGGAACTCACCATAAATGCATCACAACTTTCTGTTCACATTCAGCTGGTGCCCTTTCTCACCACTGTATCTCAGAGCAGTTAATCATGGATTGGCATGGAGGCCGGAAAGATGAGGCCCGCTCATGTAGACCTACATCCTGTCAGCCTCCATCTCTCTGTCTATCTATCTATAAGCAGCCAGATGCATCACACTGATGACCTGACATGACATGATGGCTGGAGAAAGTTCAGAACAGCTACTAAATGGACATTGAGGTGAGAAGGTTTAGCCAGCTAGGTTTTTAAAGATCAATAACACACTTTCTACCTCTTGTTGTTCAGGTGAATGTGATTAAGGAGGACAAAGAGTTAACACAAGGGTTAACGGACGCTGACACAGGCATTGATGTACCAAGGCATTTTTTTATTGAGGTTAATTACACCAATTTAACAGTGAACTGGTCAAAAGAGGAAATGGAGGGAGTAAATGAACAAATTATTGAGCATATTGTTCACAGTTAAGGCAAATATATCACACTTTTAGGCTATTTTAGCTCTTTCATGGAAAGAATAATAACAGTGTTCAAGCATTATATACACATCTTCTGTCATAAGCTGACTCAGACCTCCTGTGATGAATGATACTGTTCGGGTAGTTTATTTGCAGGTCACCATGATAGCAGCTCCTGCTCATATACTGTATATGACTTCAGGTTAGCAGTGGGATTATAAGGAAAACAGATCCCTTTTCAAGTGTCTGTTACTCAGAGAAAAGTCAAACATATGATCCTCTCTAAGCTGTGGAAAGTCTGATAAGCGTTTTCAGATTTGGGTTTTGCTTTAAGTGACATTACAAGGGAATGGCAGTAACTCTACAGTAAAATAACAAATGGGTGTATGTTAACACACAAGTGTAAACTACACGTATCAGTCAGTATAGAATCAGGTGAATAAATAAAATATACTTAATGGCACTTAGACAGGTGTTCCACAGTCTCATAGACTAGATTATCAATAGGAACTGTAACTGTGTGGATAAATTAAAAGATGTTTCATGAAGGTCATCACAGAAATGACATTCTGCAACAGAGACTGTGATTTCAACCGAAAAATCAAAATAATTCAGCAATTTGCATCAGTTACTCATTGATTTTGAGAGATAACTGATGGTTACGAACATTAAAGATTGTGTTGTGGTTTCTGTTCTCTTGTCAGCAGCAATAAATAATTAATTTTAAAGGTCCAGTGTGTAAGATTTAGGAGGATCTATTGGTAGAAATTGAATATAATATTCATAGGTACACTAAGGTATTTCCATTAGTGTATAATCACCTGAATATATTTCTCAGCCACCGTAGTTTCTCCTACACACTTTGCAGCCCGTTCTCATTCCCAGCTGGTGAAATACAGAAACGAGCGGTGTTGCAACCTGCAACCATTAGATGTCACTAAGTCCTACACACTGGTTCTATAAACTGTCTCTATATTGTACCTTCTGTCAGGATTCTTGTCCTTAATATCAAGCTACACCGGCGTTTATTCATCCATTGTGCTCTGTAACACGTTTCAATGTACTATATAACTAATACTGACTTTAAACGAGAGAAGAATAATAGATTACACACACACACACACGTTGCTATAAAGTAAATACTCGCCTGCATGTCTATATATTCATTTTCATGCTGATTGAGGAGCTGTAACAGTCTTGACTGAAAAAGTTAAGAGTAAGAAAATAAATTCTACAATGAGTATTTGGCACAAGTTGAAGTAACTTGCATTTCTGCACAGTATGGTTGTGTTCTATATGATACACTTGTGAACAGATTATATCGTCTGTTAAATACTATACAACTGTCTGCATAAATAGACTAGAGAGTCTAACTACTGAAATAATGTCAACACTCACTCAAAATATGATATGTGCTAAGCTGCCTGAATAACTTACTATAATTTCTCATATACATACATCTAGGAAGGCTACAGATGCAATCTTTTCATAAAAGTGCGTTTACATCCATCTTGTGCGTTATGTGTATTCACAGCAGATTAATCTACTTAAGTAGCTCTCTGCTGTGCACTAAAAGTGCTCCATCTTCTACAAAAATCTACAAATTCATATCACACACATGTAACCATCACTGTTCAAATGACTGCTACATCTCACGCACATGTCAGTCAGTCCGTGCTTTGCCTGCTAGGAAGCTACTCAGCAGGCCACAGGTAGTCAGCTGCCAGGACTGGGAGTCTGTGGTGGCGTAGTTCCTTGATGCTCCACCCGGGGGAGCTGCTGCCTCCAGTAGGTAAAGTGGCTGAAGGTGTCCGAGCAGGGGAAGTCTGAGGAGGAGGCTCGCATTTTCAGAGGGAACACGTGGTCGACCACCTCACCCAGACGTACATAACTGAAGAGAGGAGATGAGGACTCATTCAATAACCAAACAAACAAACATTTTCCCTGGAGTCATTACGGTGTTTCCTCCTAGAAGAGAGAGTGTAAACTGGATGCAGGACTTACGATGAGATGTTGGTCTTGGCATGTTCCTGCACTAGCTCGCCTTTTGGGTTGACTGTAAAAATCCTGTTCAGTGGCACTCCTACTTCTTTATAGGAATATACATCCTGAAAATATAAATGTGAACTGAGTTAGAAATATTGTACATCTGAATTAAACTAAGAATCTACAGCACAAATGGTTTTAATTTTAATCAAAATCCTGAGGATCCTGAGTATCAACTGTCACAGGAATCAGATGTATTGTATATAATGTGAGCGTACCGTTGGTCTGTTGCCAAACGCTGCATAGAACGGCTGTTTGTTGGGGTAGAAGAGATTCTTGATATCGTTTAGACACTCCACCTTAAATTTCTCTGGTTTCTTCTCAATAACCTCCCTGTCAAACACACACACACACCAGAGACAACAATGCTCAAGTCAGTGACAATGCCTCTTGCATCTTCTTGCACATTGTTATTTATTACTAATAGAGTCCTAATTTAGAAAAATAAAAAAGTGTTTGAGCATATGAGATACCTGTGCAGAGCTGAAAAGAGGCTGCTCGGGCTGAGAAGGACAGGACCCATAGGGAGCATGGTGCCCCTCTCATTGACCCAGTGGAGATAACCTCTGGTCATGTCAGCCATGCCGATAGCTCGTGCTGAACAGTACAGGAATTTGTATCCATTTCTGATGGACAGAGAGACAGAGTGAGAGATATGAAAGAACAAGCAAAAGTGTTAACAATGATCAATAAGCTTGCTTTTGGCCTGTCTTGTGTGAAATGTGTGCAGAATTTTCAAGCGATTTGTGCCTTTCATGCTGACAGTGTGTTAATAAATAAGTGCTTACTGGCTGACTTTGTGGTAGAGGTGAGCAATGCCCTGGTGAGTCCAGTCTTTCCCCAGCGTGGGCAGGATGTGACCCAATGTGTCTGACCTGGAGACAAACACACATTGGTTTGTGTCATTGACTACAGGCACATTTTCAGTTTTGGGGAAAAAGTTCAAAGCCTACATTTTGGTGTGCAGGAATCTGAGTATTTAATCTAAATGGCCTCATAATCAGCAGTAAATGAATGAAACTACAGTGAAAATATACTTTTAGATGACTATATATCTATATCCATATTCACTCAAAACTGAGTTCATCTATGTACTAAAGGCAGATGTAAAGGTATGTTTATATTCATTTTGTATCACACACCTGGTGATGGTTCCATCTATGTCTGAGATAATTATCTTGTCGTCCCAGTTCCACAGGTAGATGGTGCCCTGACAGCGACAGGTTCCCTGGTACTGAGTGGTCACACTGAACACAGCGTCATTAGGACCATCCTGCAGCTGGAGAGACAGCTGTGTGTGCGTGTGTGTGAGTGAGTGTGAGATAGAGATAGAGATAGAGAGAGAAGGGGGGGGGTAGTGAGAAATAATATACAAAAGTAAAAAGCATGGCTTTTAATAACTAAAAATGTCAAAATTTAAAGCTTATTCAAACCAAACTCCTCACCAGCTGCTCTGATGTGAGTCGGAGTGTTTTCTTATAAGACACGCCTCCTAGTGTGAGCCCAGGCTCTGATTGGACAGTGGAAGAGCTCTGTTTGGTTGCCCTGTGGTCTTCATCGCTGGAGGACGACTCTTCTTTATGTCTGGCATCACACAGGTTAACAGTGTGTTAGAGGATGTTCAGTCCGTCGCTAACTTTATAACAAATGTTTTGAGGTTCCTCACCTGCTTGTCATTTCCCCATCCTGCTCAGCAGAGCCACAGGCCCCACGCTCAGATATTGAATCCTACAAGATTAGAGAAACAGTGTTAATTTGCTTTACCCACTTATTTTCTTAACACCTGACAGAGTAAGCAATAATCCCAATGTAAGGTACGCAGGTGAAATTACCGATTTGGTGCTGCTGTTTCTGCCTCGCCAGGAGAACCACCACCTCCCTCCTTTCTTGGGCATCTTCTCCTTCATGATGTTCTCCACTGCAGCCTGGAGTGGACGACACACGACACGCAAACAACCACAACACAGCACCATAAAAACACACTCAAAAAACTGAAGCCAAACCATACTGTAAATTAACAAACATTAACACAGAAACAACAATGTGTCTGCGGTTGGAATGAGGAAAATAAAGCATGTATGGGTGGGAGGTGTTTGGGAGTTCAAGCGTTTCATTGTGGACAGGATGAGGAGTAAAAACAGAAGAAAGTGGCATAAGATGAGAAAACAAGATAGTAACTGAGTTGAAAAGAGTTTGTCTCTGACATACAGAGCTGTAGCCCAGCATGCCAGTCAGACAACAGAGAAGAAACTCTAAGGCTGAGTGAATATAACTGAGGCAAGAGAACTAATGAATGGATCGATGGATGCACCGATAGAGTAGAGGAGGAGGGAGTGATGAAATAGAAGGAAGGGAAACAGAGGGGAAGACAAAGTTTAACTTGGAACGTTGGTCACACAACATAAAGTATGTCTGAGGCTGCAATAACAGAGTTTATATAATGCACATTAGGTAATATAATGTAATGGGTAGAATTATAAAGCCTATAGGGATGCAAACATACAGGATGCAGTACCGGTTTTGGTCAAAAGGTGGAGTGGTATTCATGTAACACAACCAGCCTACAGCTTGAGTCATTACTGTCTGTGCTGTGTATCAATTTCTTACCTTTGGCAGCGGTTTCTGAAAGGCTTGCATAGCCAGCATAAGTGGAGCCGCAGTGTTCCAATTATAGTACCTGAGTAAGAAAACAACGTATATTTTTATCAATTCCATAACCGCATCAAAAAAACACTTTGTCAGCCAAATGTCATTTCAAAAACCTCTTTATGAGCCCTAACCATCCTGCAGGTACTGCAGTGTTTGCTGCCATGTGTGGCAGTTAAATCCATACAGCAAAACAGCAAACAGTAGTTTATAAACTGCTTTTGACAACATTTAGACAAAAATATGCTGTGAATGTCTTACTTGGAGCCAATTTTCACCACTAAGTTGGGGTCATCGATGATGGAGGGGTTTTCTGCAAACTGCTGGTAAGAGATCATCTTCTCGTGAAACTGCTCTGTAAGCACACACACATTTCATGTTCAGGTTCCCTCCTCCACAGCACAGTGGTCGTGTTGTGTTGGTATGCCAATCTTACCTTTAGTGATCTCCCTGTTGTCGGTGAGTCCTCCACACAAAGAGATGGTGATAGATGGCAAGTCGCCCATGGGGTCGCAGTAGCTGTCCACTCCGCTGTCTCCTCCAGAGCTGACCAACTGTGGGGACAGACTGGTGCTGTGGAGGCCGGGGTCTGAGACGCTCCTCACTGCTGCGCCGCCGTCACTACAGAGGAGTTTATAATAAGTTCAGCAATATCCATATGTTAAAACTTGAATTGCCTTTAAGTTATGACTCTGTGTGCGTTTGTGTGCTTCCACACACCTCTTAGGGAAATAAAGGGCCGCCACTTCAGGCTCGAGCTCGGTGATGTCATCCAGGTAAACCCCATCAGAACCAAGATGGCGGCTTCTCTTGTCTGCAACAGAGCAACAACTCCACTGAAATAAACAGTCAGCTTCTTTTTATTTGTACTTACTGAAGTAATTCCCTATTAATAATATACCTTAAATTTTATGTTTGGCTTACAATTCCACTATAAGCAAAATAGGCAGTACAGTGGATATTATATATATATTTCTTTAAATATATTATTTTACCCCCAAACACAATAAAGCTTAGTATTCTCTTTAGCCACCCAGATTTTTATCACTTTGTAATGTGGTTTGAGGTAAACAGCAGAGTATTGGGTTTGGTTATGATGAGCAACTGTCCACTACACATCCGCTCTCTGGACTCCATTGACACTTTCAAGTCTCAACTCAAAACACACCTTTTTAAAAAGTCTCATTTGCTATAAATACTCTGGCCCCCAACTGTTGTACTCTCTGCATTCATTTATTTAGCTACACTGTATTTTTTGTTTGTAATTTTATATGTATTTTATATGTATTTACTATGCTGTGTATTTTATGCCTATTTCTGCAGTTGTTTTTACCTGTAAGGTGACCTTGGGTGTTTGAAAAGCGCCAACAAATAAAATGTATTATTATTATTATTATTATTATATTTCAAAAGACCTTCCAAATATATTTGGTGATTTTAACGCCCAAAACCAAATGGCATTGAACTGTACTACAATACAGCTGACAGTTTAAAACCTCAGCACAGTAAATAACGGTTGAATAGACAAACAAGACTCCCAAAAGAACGATAAATTCTATTGTGTTGCTGAGAGAAATGGCACCTTTTCTCTTGGACGGAGAGTCTGTTTTGCCTGCTGGACGAGACATTGTCTCCTCCATATCAGACATCATACGAGCTGCCACACTTTCCGCTGTTGTAACCTGCGTCTCTGCACTGACTGTCTGCGATTCCATCCTCACGGATTCAGACTCCATCCCGGCTGTTTCCTCGGCGTGCTCCACCGTCATTAGCAGCCTGAGAGCTGATATTTCAGAGCAGGGGCCACACTGTTCTGAAGACGTTTCGTGAGTTATCACACGGAAGTGAGTGCTTTCAGACACCGGGATGGATACTGGAAAAACTGGTGGAGGTTCAGATTTTACTGGGAGGAAGGATGGCTAGAAAAACAGGGAGGGAGAGGGAATATAAAAACACTGTGAAATAGACTAACAACATACGAAAACTAACACAAATAGAGTTGTTCTCTCTGTGTGTATATATGCACAGTGGACACTTTGGTTACCGTGGCAGCCTGTGGCAGCTCTCCCCACGCCCAGTGTATGGCTGGATTCTGATTGTCTGCATCTGATGGCTTGGTCATTAGTTCAGAGTCACTCTTGGGAGAGGTGGGACGAGAGTTTCCAGGGCTGAGAGAGGAATATAAGATAACAATTAAGGCAATGTTTCTTCTGAATAATAACATGTAGATCTTCATCATATGAGTAAAAGAAGCACCTCTGAATAGGGCTCCACTCTCCATCTGAACGAGTGTAGATACCAGTCTGTTTGAAAGAGCCGCTGGTTGTCTCATCTCTTAATACATCCCGAGATGAAATCCTGAAACACACACAAATACTGTATATGTATACCACACAACTGTATATCATTAATCTGCGTTTTTTAATAAAGTAGTGTAGTGTATCTTTTATTAAGCTCAGTAATTTACCTTTCACTTTTCACCCATTTCCCAAAACGACTTTCAAGACCCTCAGAGATCATGCCTGAACTTGTTGCACTCTGCCTGCACTCAAAACATAACAGGTCCTGTAGCTACAATGCTGTCACACTGCATTATGGTTGAACATTGGTGCAAAAACTTTGATTTGACATGACTTAAAAGAAATTTGGTGCTCAGTTTGGTTTGGTTTGGTCAGTTAACATGAAAATAAAATATATTACATATAGTAATTAGGCCACAAATGCAAAGGAAATTGCTAACAACAAAGCCTGATAACAATTTGTTTACACTACATATAATCTCATCGTCTTGTTTATTACAGGCCAATAACTGTTCTCACTGTACATGAATGGAAAAAAAAACATCCTGGTGTTGTTTTACAGTAGTATACAGTAGAGATGAGCCAGAATTGAGATGTAATGTATCCCCCAATCACATTGCAGAGATGAAAATAAATCTGTCATGTGGCAGTTATTTACAACTGCAGCTGTATTCATTCATGATAAGAGCACTTTAACATGCAGTATGGGAAGGCAGTGGCTCCTATAGCTGCTAGTCTGTTTTAGATCAAATGCTGCACCAGAGGCCAAGTTACATGTTGGCAGTAGCATACTGTATGCACACCTTAACAAAAACACACGCAGTGAAGATGTTTCCTCTTTTCACATGCTTCTACTTTTCTATCCAGAAACAATCACACAGCTGAAGTTGTGTTTCAAAGTGTCTTAGTGTTTTTGGGCCACAGCTGGAGGCTTCTCCACTACAGGCGCGGGTCTGTTTATTCGTGCCTGACAGACTCCAGTTGCATTACAGCTGTTCTCAAAGCTCAGTACAGTGATTTATTATACTTTTTATCTCACTGCCTCACTGTCCACCCTTTCTCCCTCCCTTACTTTCTCACGTGTATTGCTTTTCCTTTTTTCTTACACCTCACGTGTTTCATTATTTTTCCACTATTTCAATACTTAAAATTCTTTCTTTTTTCTTCATTCCTCTTTTCTTCCATCTCCTCCTTCCCCCTTTTTTCCTTCACTCTCTCCACATTCTCACCTGTTGCTCTCCATCTCCGTCCCTTCATCTGAGCTGATGTCTATGGTGAACATGTCTTCGCCCTCGGAGTAGTCTCCGCTCTCCTCCCTCCTCACGCTGTCCGCCCGAGCCTTCCTCCTCCTCTTTCTCCTCTTCTTCATCATCACGCCACCAGTCTCTCCCGTGCTCCCTGTGGAGCCCAGGGTCTGTATGGGCGGCCCCCCAGAGCTCTTCTTGCCCATCAGGGAGGAGCTCATCATAAAGGCCCCGTCTGACAAGATCGGAGAGGTGGCCAGGTAGGAGGGAACCACTTCCTGTTTTGACAAGATAACAGAAGTGAAACAATAAATACAATCTGAAATTAATGGGTCATGTGGCCCATGTGATATAAGAGTGGTGGTTTCTCAAGTAAACATGTAAGAAAGTCAAACCTAGGGTTGAAAAGTCGGCATATGAATAAATAATAACAAAATACTAACACAAGCAAAACATTTAAGAAGTTTAAGAAATAATTACTCAACAGAGATCGTAAGTAGTGCTTATATTTATACAGTAAACAACTGTTAGATTTCAAGTAAATCTGCATTTTAAAAAAAAAGTTATCTTTTTGGCCTTTTCATGGCTTTATTTGATAGGACAGCTGAAGATCGACAGGAAGGGTGAGTAGAGAGAGATATGGGTCGCCAGCTCTACCCACTGAGCTAACAGGGCGCAAGTACAAATCCTGAAATAATTGTGCTCAAACTATTTGTTGAGTGCATCTGCACACAAAGAACTATTTGTGCTTCTGTATGTATAAAATATGACTCCAGTGTTTCGTCTTTGGCCATTGTGTCCGGTCGCTTCCAAACTGTTTGTACCCACTTCTGCTGTGAGGAAACCCTTTGCCAAAGGAAAAGGAAGCTGCCAATCCAAAACAGAATTTGTTCTTCAGTTATGTGAAAGGGGGCGGTCTTAGCTCCTTCTAGGAAAGGAAAAGGCTTTCCAGGAGGATCTCCTGCTGTCAGTGCAGGGGAATATAATGTGTATAAATATGGAAAAAAAGAGAGAGCAAGGGAGAAAAAACTGGGGTATAGTCATATGATTTGTGGTCTGACAATACTCCCTACGTTTTGCTTCCCTGTGCCAAGAAAAAAAGGGTTCAGAGACACAATCCTCCTCCCCTCCTCACTCTTCCAGGCCTGGGAATCTGACACCACTCTGGGGAAAATAAATCACCCACTTCCCTTGTTGGTGCTGGGCCCAGGCCGCAGTAGTTGGCCGCTTGTTTATGTCTTGAAGCTGCACACGTCCTCATGTGCATACAATAGCAAAGAAACGTTTTATAATGATACGACTTTGCTCTCAACTCAAAATCTTAACACTTTATTTTGAAAGTTTGCTCTCCTAGAATTCATTTTTACATGTGCCCTACTTAAATTTCCATAAGCGTATTTCTTTGCCAAAAAACTTGAGTCCTGGTTTATCCTTAGCCATTAGGCCACAGCATTTAATGTAGGTCAGAGCCTGAGTTCGTAAATGCTGCATTCAGGACTCACTGATGAACAGAGGAATGCTTTTCAGCCAAAAAGGAAAGAAAGAAATTCCTGGCCGCTGTGCCAACTCTGCACACAGCGTGACCTTGTTCAAACTACTATGACTGTGTGTAAGGAGGAAGAAAGTTTGGGTAATGCCTTTCAATTGTAAACACGGGTGTGTCTGGGTTTCAGGACGTCAGGGGGGTGGAGAATGATGTGTGTTTTCATTTGAATCTGTTTTTACTTGAACCATTTAACTGAGATTGAAATACCCTCTGAACTGTCACACATACCTGATCGTTTTCTGTTTCTTGCACAAAGAAAGCTTCTCCATTGTCCCCAAGCTTCATATGTAGATCCACTGGTTCTCCATTAATCTCCATGTCCACCTGGAGAAGAGGAGAAAGGGGCAAACGATGGGGGAAAAGGAGGAATGGATGGAAACAAGACTAGTCCTCAGTCCTCAAACATTTAAAAGGTTACAACTCTATTGCTGTGAAACTGTTGCCCTTAACTACAAAGGCATTTTTGTCTCCTCACCACTTTCTCTCTGGACCGGAGGACACCCATCTTGCCAAAACGGACGTGAAACGGCGAGCACTGCAGCGATCCATCAGGCTGTCTCACTACAATGACGTCAATGCAGCCAGAAAGGGTGGCAGGGTTGAGGCCTCGGTACAGCTCTTTGACCTGGACGAACACCTGGCCTGCTAACTGGCCCACGTAGTTCATGGTCTGACGGGTCTGGTGGAGGGGACAGTGAAGGGGAGTGAGGTAGACAAGAAAGGGGAACGAAGAAATGACTTGAGAAACCACATCCATAACAAAAGGTCTACTTAAATCACCCAGTCATGATCACTAAGCTCCACCGCACTGGATGCAACCATGCCTCGAACTCCATCAACCTTCAGAGGAGGAAGTGTTTATGAACCGGCATCTGCTGCGCCATTCCGCAGCCTGTCAATCAAACCATTCATGACGTATAACTCTCCTTCAGGGGAATGTGGTCTCTGATCTGAAGTCTGGTCTTGAGCTACACTATGACTGGTATGGCCCGAGAAAGAGGACATGGACATTACTGTTTCCTGTTCAGTACTCTTGTAATTTGTCCCAGGACGGTCTGTGGCCTACATACTATAGGAAGAACCTGCTGCCGCTGTGACCTTAACACCCTCCTCTCCCCGTCCCGATAAGTCTGGCAATCCTATCCGACTGTTTTCCATCCAGCAACCCCAGACAACAGAGGTCAAAGGACACACCAATTTAGACCAGTCTGTACTCATGTAATGAAGCTGATGTCAGAGGGCTCAGATGTTGTTTGGTCACAACCAAGTTTTAAGAGTAGTCATAGAGAAACACTTAAAGTTTGAAGCCAAGTTTTGAGGGGCTTTAAAGGTCCAGCGTGTAGGATTTAGTGGCATGTAGCGCTGTAGTTGCAGATTACAACCCCCTCACCAACTCCATCAACACCATAGAAACAGCTCAATCTAAGGTAACAGAAACACAACGATTCTTATTTTCAGGTGATTATACACTAATGAAAACACATCTATGAATATTATGTTCCGTTTCTTCCAATGGAGCCTCCTAAATGTTCCACACTTCCCCTTAGTTGTAACATTTAGTCCTATCGATCTTTAAGTAATTATGGATCATACACAACATTCTATCCATTTATTTCTGAAACAAGCAAAGTTTACTGACCAAAGGCTTTAAATGTTCACATTTAAAATCTCACTGATAGCCAACAAATATAATATAATATAACACTCATCACTACTAGATTTGTGTCGGCACATAGATGCAATTGTTAAGTTCTCCATTGTAGCATTGATCCAGTGTTTATGTACCAGTCTCTGTCTGTATCCTCTCAGTTAATCACATTTTCCAACTAAACCACAGCAAAGGAATGCAAATATGTAATTAGATAAACATATGTTTCTGCCAGTAGCCTTTGGATTGAGGAGCATTAACAGCATAAGGTGAGGTAAATAAGGTAAAGGAAAAAAAACAATACCATTTCAAGAGCATCTTTTCAACCTCATCCCTGCTGACGCCATACAATGACTAGATTATATAGATTTCTATGATACAAACACCAATGGCCAAATGTAATAAATCCCACTTCCAGCTTTCAGGCAAGACTCCTTGGAGTTTGCAGCTGTCTAATAACAGCTAAGGTGTCTGACCTTGACTCAGTTGGCGGTGGGCCCCCGAAATGATTGCATCAACAGGAAAGATAAGTTTGGAACAATGCCAACATATCTACAGCCCCCATCCCTATTTGAACACGTGACCAGGAGAAGAGGCCCCTCACAATAGAACAGGAGCCCTAATTTTAGAGCAGCAGATGAATCCGGGATCCATAACAATGCCTGCATCTTGAAATACTTCTTATAGATGACCTTCACCATGCTCAATTATTCATTTCACTTTTTCACTGAGGTATTGAGTTACAGAGCTGCGAGCTAACATCTGATTTTCAAAGTAAAGGTCTTTTGGTGTGAACACTGCTCCAAAAATAGATTTTCTTGTGTTCTAGACAGAAAGAGGAACAGTGTCTCAAAACCCTGATAGCACTTTGAGAGATCCTATTTTAAAAACCCTGAGACTGAGATGGTTTTTAACTGTGGTAGCCCATGCTCATTAGGTTAATGGATTTACAAGCTGCAGTTATTAATTTCCTTGTATGCTGGAATCTGGCTGAGCCTGAGTTGCGAATATACAAAGACACTTTCATTTTCTCATTAGTCCTATATTACTCACAAAATATAATCTGCAATCATAACTAACAAGATAAATTACTAGTTTAATTAAAATGACAGAAAAAGATGCCTTGTGCCTCACACCAACACCCAAACCCAAACCACACATTTAAAGGGAAAGACATTTTAAAATCCAATAGATGTAGGTAAATAGCTGACTCACAACACGAGAGTGCCTTTGGGAAACGGTATTTATGATTGATAGGCTTTCTTTAATAACTCTAAGGACGCACTATTAACATAACATATACGTAGCTACATCTGTACGAACAAGAAGGCATCCATCAGACTTATCGTTAAACAGGCAGGTGCAGTAAAATACATGATAAAAACAGGCTCATACCTTTTATAGCTGAGTATGCTGACAGCCTTTACCAAAACACGGAGACTGGTGTTTCCTTAGCGGTGAATGACGGCACAACAAGACATTACAGAGGCGGCTTTTCCCTTTAGAGGTTATTTCTGAGTGTTTTATAAAGCCCTGACTTGCTGTCATCGACTTATATCGCCAAGGAACGGACTATTTAAGTCAACGCGATATTAATTTCTGTCTGTCTGACTGTCTCTATCTCTCTATCCCTCTCTCTCTGGCTCGCGCTGTGTCTCTCGGGGAGCCTTGTCAGTGGATGACATCAACTGCAGCGAAAACCCGCCCGCGAACCAATCAGCGTCGAGCTGTTGAGTTGCCAAACGCATCGTTTCAGCTGCCACAGTGGCAACAGAATTACTGCTGCTTGATTACATTGTTGCAGACTGTTGACTGACGGCGTCAAACTGGTGAAGGTTTGCCGTGTTTATGGTTCATATATCTTATGTGAAAAGAGCCACGAATTATACACTGCTTTTATTTAGTCGCATTGTACCTGTCATTGGGTATCTAAAAGTTAAATAAATAGGTTAATTAATTTAATAATCATACAGGCTTCATGTTTTTCGAGTTAAAACTATATCCTCGCGGGTCGCCACGCTTTAATGTCGGATGTGTTACGAGATATTACTATACATCCATGTTTAAAGAGCACTGAAGGAAACAGTATCGGTACCCAGCAGCTATGACGGCGGGAAACAGCGGGGCTACGTCAGCGTTTGAAGTCACCCAGTCGGTCTGGTGCAGTGAGGTGATCTTTCCAGCCAATCACAGCCCTGCATGGTAGCACATGCTATGTTCGCAGTTTAACCTGAGACCCTCCAGTGAAACTGTGTGTGTCTGGAGAGGATGTGGATGACTGATGGTGGCAATGTGCAGTACTCAACACGAGCAAAACCTAATTCATGACCGTATAGTAGCAACAAATACAAACACACCGACTTACACAGACTTTGATACACTTAACAGATGATGGTGTAGATCGTACATACTCAAATTTATATCAGATTTGCTTCATTGGAATGAATAAAGTTGCATTATTGCCTCTCTCCCTCTCCCTCTCTCTCTGTCTCTGTCTCTGTCTCTCCCTCCGTGTGTGTGTGTGTGTGTGTGTGTGTGTGTGTGGGCAAGTGGGAACACAGGCAAAAATTTGACAGCAAAATATATTTCTGTTCATGGAAGACCTCTCCGCACCGGCCCAAATATTTGATGGGCTACACGCTACAACAGCCTCACGTGCAGCTCTCCTACAACAGGAGCGAGTTCAATGGAGAGAGAGAGAGAGAGAGAGAGAGAGAGTGTGTGTGTGTGTGTGTGTGTGTGTGTGTGCGCGCGCACGTGGGAACTAATTGTTTTTCCAGACTGTAAAACTTACTGGGCTAAACCAGAAAAGGAAGAATGTGTATCTTCGTTTGGGGTTTTTTTTCCCAGCACAGTCCAATGCTGCTGAGCCCTGTGTGTTCTTATCTTGTGCACACTGTTGAGTACTTTAAAAATGTTCACGCTGTCATGCCAGATTACATTATTGTGAAATAAGTCACAACAATTAAAGATAAAAAAAATGGTTGATTATTTGTTGAGTAGCAGGCAGTGTCATGTCACTATGTTAGTACAATGTCACCTCTGCTGTGTCATCTTGTACTTGTGTGTGTCTGTTTTGTGGTTTTCAGCCTTACTGGTTCAGTATGTTTAGTTTCCATAACAGTTGTTTCCTGACATCTTTATTTAGTCGAACTGCTGACCCTGCACCAACCTGCAACCTCGGCTGACATTAAGCTCTTTCATGAATGGATTGATTGGTGGAATTGTTATTCCTGTTACTGCACAACAAGTTATGTAAAATGTTCTATCATGTGGTTTCCACTTTTGTCCTGTGATATAAAAAGTATGTTCTTGCAATTTCTCCCCCATGCTGAGAGTTGTTTTTTTTATTGCATAACTAGTATATATAAGCAATGGAGACACATTTGTAAGGAAGCTCTCCTCCCCTGTGCAGCTATCACAGTCCAAGTGAGCTAGTGGTAATTTACACTTGACACACCCTGAATGCACCATGTCCATCTCAGCATTTTCATCACATCTGTTGCATTAACACCTCATAAATGTGATGGACGTTAACCCTGCAACCCTACTTTCTTTCACGTTTACTCAAAATGTGACGTTAAATGTTTCTACCGTAATTACAAAGTAAATACAGTAACAATCCTGAAATAACTATGCGTGACATGCACCCAGACCATTATATGTAACCATTAGCAGTGGTCATAGTGGCACTGCTACATAGCTACTGGCTGTCAGTCTTTATGTCACTGTCACTGGATTCTTCAAAGACATATGAGCCAAGCAGCTGCCCTGAGACATATTTCTATGAAGAAGCTGCTTTGCCAGGAAGAGCTGAACTCAGACGATGTACTCTGGACACAAACCAGACATTTTGACATGTATGGTCAGTGCCGTGACCAGTATCAGCCTACAGCAAACAAGTTGATATCTGACCGTGTCACTAAACCAGTGTTTTTAAAAATAAAACTGAGAAGCCCTTCACTAAACTACATCAGCACTTATTTATCATATCATACTTATTTATTTATTTTACCTGCATTCACACTGTATTACAGGAGGCCTAATTTGCTACCTGTAGTTTGACCTTATTTAGCTTTGCACCCATAATTCACCCTCTCTTCTTGAAGGAGTGTCTTGGCTGGTGGTAACACTCAGTTCAACCAATCACAACTTTGACTGTATGGATTTGTAGCAATGAGCTGACTTCTTCCTGCCCACCAATCAGGTTGAAGTAGGGCAAACATTAGTTCACTCTACATTCATAAATATGCTTAAATAAGGATTTATTTTGAATCTTTGTGAGAGAAAACCAGATTTAGCTGTTTCAGTGTCACACCGCCCACATTTTCAGGTTAAATGTTTTCACTTCAAACCAAACTTTTTATACACCCCATATAAACCTTTTATGCACTTAAACTATGCAATGGTAGGACTCTGACAGTAGTCTTAAATGAACATGAGTAACTCCTCAATCTGCCTCAAGCCATGAAAAACAATAAGTACTAGTCACTCTGTGGAGAAGTCATTCCAGTTGACTCAGCAAGGGCACGGTGCTTTAACAAATTCATTGCATAATAACGATTTTTTTTTTTTTTTTTTGTCAACACACTTGTTTGATATCAAGGCCCCTGATTGGCTCAGGCTATTCTGGCCAGAGAGTCATGCGACCTGAATGACACATTAGCTGGAACTGCCAAACTGTGATACACTGATTAAAAGGAAAAAACTCTTGTCTTGTCTTGAATGGGTGAGATTATGGGTGTATGAGACAGGTTTAAACGCCCTCTTGGGCAAAACATTGTTGACTTATGTCTGTTAACAAGAAATGAGTTGGAAAACTTTTATTTTCTCAACATTTAAAATGGGGATATTTCATAAAGAAATATGAGCAGAGTTTTGGTCACAACTTTTGCAAAAGGCCACATGATTAAGAACTTTTAGTTTCATTATGTACAATATGGGTTGCATTCAGGGAGAGGGCCCTTGTTTTATTACAACATTTTACAAAATGAATGTATGAATGTATGTAACTGACATCAACTGCTGTAGATATCTCCTGACCTTTACGTCACCTAATAAGTGTGTGTTGCAAGCTGTCATTTTGAATGACACATGTTGTTTTACTTTCCAGGTAGAATCTCTTCTTACCAAATAACCAAGATTCATAAAACCACAGCGGTAGTCAGAGGATCATCTGATCCATGAGGCTATCCCTCCACCCGGCTTCACAACCCTGTCCCCTCTCGTCCCCCCCTCCCATGTTTCAGTGGGAGCAGATCGTCTTACGGGGGGGGATTACTGAAACAGACCCCCCCTGGTCTAACTGCCTCGGCTGTCCCAAGAAAAAACTACAGGGCATGTTACTTTAAAATACTATTCCTAATTATTTCATTTAAGTTCAGATTTAATAAAAACAGACCATCATTTTGAATGACTTAAACTTGTCTTCAGTCCTGCTCTGTGATACCTGCATACATGTATCCAGACACACAGTTTTTCTTCTGCATGCATTTCTCTCTGTTCATACTGTAAACTGCATGTAAAAGCATAATCCTCCACCTTTAAATCCAATGATTGTGTTCAAGACGTTCTCTTTTTTAACCCTTTAATTCATGCTTTTGTTTTCACACATGCAGAGGATTTACAAATCACTTTACCCAGCTCCAGGTGGTGTCCGTGGCATACTGCTCAACAGCCTCATCTAACTCTTCGTCATCCTCTGCCGATGTCATGATTCCATAATGTATTTGATCCCAGCTGCAGGTGTCTGGTCTAAACAGGTGTGTATGTATGAAACACTACAAGTCCGGTCCAGTCGAGAACTTGTGTCTTCACTCTGTGAGCATGTCAAGTGTCTGACTGCAGGGTGCCAGTGGACAGCGTCTTACTAAATTTACCTGGGCCCCCTGGTCAGAAACCCGAGACAGTCCCCGAGTGGTCATCGTCCACCAGATCCTCTGACTTCTTTGGTATTTGAGGAGGGGGACACTTGTTAGGATTGTTTATCAGAATGTTGATCTGGACTTCCTCTCACACACACACACACAAACACAATCACACAGCAGTCAGACGACAAATTACCTCGACACAGAGCGTCCCCTCCTAATGCATGCCTGACAGTTTTTTCAATGTGTAAATTCCTCATTAGTTAACACACAGATTGTGACACCTGCTGTTGCTGTTGACCCCATGTTGACCGTGGTACTGACATTCAGAAGAGAGCAGAGCACCTGTCGCATGGGGTGGACTCCAAGTCTCCCTGGTACCCAGTGACTCTTCCAGTGACCACTGTAATTAATATGACGCTGGTGTCACTGATGTGTTTAACTAATAACATTTTATATTTATTTGATAGGCCAGCTGACTGCTTGTAACCATGACATCTGCCTCAATGTGAAGCCTTGTTCAATAAAGGTCTTCACTGCACTCCGGTGGTCAAAAGGGGTAAATACATCCAAACTTAGAATTAACGGCCTTGAGTTGCCTTCACTTACCAAAATAAAGCTCAGACTTATACGTACTTGGGTTGTATAGAATTGTTACACGGTAGTAAATAATAACTTAATATGTCTAGAAACAAAATACATCCTCTTATTCACATATCCTATGAAAAACAACAACCTATTTGCATCGACTAACAATGAAATGACTCACTACACTTACAGTTAAGCCAGGTTTTGGCTCACTTGTTTGTGTTACAAGCATATTACATGTTTTGATTAAGGTCAGGTTAGACTTTGTTGG